AAATCAGACTGCTGAATCCTACTTTCAATGCTCAGTAGTTTATACATTTTGGAAAACACTCAAGTTTCCTGTCTGTAGAAATGGAATGTCAACAACAATGATTCACACTCAGAGAAAGAGAAAAAGTTTATCATGTGCTCCAATAGAGACAACCAAACTGCAAAAGGTAGGAACTGGTAGAAGAAACCTTTAAAATATCCTGCCAACATTTACTCTTCTCTACAGAGTAGCTTTGAATATCTTCTGTAATAATCATTCCTTGGACAACAGAGTGTCCAATGTTAATGCTGTTCAGAGCGTTCTCTGAACAGCATTAACATATAACATTAGGATAAAGACAAATTATAATTAACCGAAAAAAAAATGTTCTTCATATCAGTTCCCAAAGCAAATAGCATGAAATGTGCTGACATTTTGTAAGGTTGCTGACCTCACAAAATGTCAGCGACTTCTGGCTTCCTTGGCTAACTACTGTATTCAGAGTTCCAAAACCAGAATTTTAGAACAATAATGTTCAATGTAAAAATTTTGCCCTGGGGATACTTTATAGAGTCCTTTACATCCATGTTTTTGCATTAGAACAGATAAATGTATCACATTAGGTTAGTTTCAGGCACTAAAAACTGAACCTTAAATGAACGGGGATTCAAATGAATAAAGCTTTAACCATCAAATAGAGAGAAAACACAGTTTATAGCTCATTGATAATCCTATTACAAAAGGTCATTACTTACGGAGTAGATGGATGTATAAATGTTTGCTAGTGTTAACTCTAAACAATGAGCTTTCAAAATGGACACATCAAATAATAGAGGAAGGTAGGCAAAAGTATGCCAAGGGAAAATATGCTACAGTTTACAACAAAATGCAAAGTTCTCCCTGGTCTAAAAATTTCCATGATTCCACAAACCCTTGCCCTTTCTCCAAAAGGTAGGGAGCTTAGTCAAAGGACAAAAAGAAAAGGAAAAGCAGTCAGAAAATAATGTCAACCTCTTAGAAGGCCTTTAAATTGTTCCCAAATTAATAACTATCTCAAATTGCTGATTTCTCTAAAAGAAGTTTTAATTTTAAATATCAGAAATAAATGCATAACTGAAAAAGTTACTTATTTAAAAATTTTAACAAAAAAAGTAGTTTCAATTACTTCTGTTCTTTAATCATAGTCATGTTATATTTGCACAAAAATATTTTTATATGTAAATATAATTTCAAGGTTTTCCTTTTAGCATACTATCTTTCCTTTTAGCATACTGAGGCCTTCAAAATGATAATTTTCACTTCCTGGAGGATGACATTCTCTCATGATCAGATATATAAACTATTTTCATGTTTTATAATAATTGCCATTCCTTCAGGTAGTTTTATTTTTATTTGTGGATTACAAACTTCATATCAGATCAGAATCATCTAGAAGTCTTGATGCAATATAAGTTGGCTGAGCACCATTCTCATAGTTCTAACTAAGTAGGTCTGGGTGAAGACAAAGAATTTATAGTGCTTAAAAGTTCACAGATGATGTTTATGCTACACGTTCATGCAGGGATTATTTAAAAAATTACTATACTCCCAAATTTTTATAGTTTTTTATGCCAATGCAGATCAATAAAACTTAAAAAAAAAAAGAAAAAGAAGAGTCAGGGGCATAACTCAAGAGCACATGACTGCATGCTTGTGGCCTGATTTGATTATTGGAACTGCAGTTCCCCTAACACTTCCAGGTGTGACCCCAGTGTTTCCCAACACAACTTCATCAATAATGATTGCAGTTCTGGGCCTGCTCATTGAACTGGCTATCCCATTTGGCAGATAATGCCAGGAATACCCCCTGAACCCCATGAGCATTGCTACAAAATAAAATGAATGCAAAATCAGTATTTTTTACATAGATTATCATTGTCAAATTGATGTTGACAAAAAATACAAACATTTTTATAGCATCTAAGACACATTTCTAAAAATCCTTTCCTGTTTGCTTATACAGATTTATATGGCCAACTTATATCTTTGTGTGTGTGTCTGTGTGAGCATGTGTCTGTGTGTGTGTGTACTAGAAGCTTTAGTAGACAGCAATTAATTTGATGAACAAAAAAAAAATCAAGGAAAAATTATTACTTTTTCTCCTCACCAAATCATAACATTTGACCAGAGACTTCCTTACATCTCAAAGGTGCAAGAGGTACAGCATGGCTAAATAACACTATCAAAATTTATGTTGCTGCTCTGTTCTTAACAAGAAGGCTTTATCCTTATTGTCCAAAATAAAATCACTGAAAACTAAGTGGAATATTTATATCTTAGAAGAAAATAAGCATGCATCTGTATTACATAGATAAAAAATGGTTGCATTTGACTCACTCATCCAAAGGGCACTTCAAAACAGAGTTGCAAATTAGAAAATACAGGGATATAATCTGTCTTTGGGAAATTGTTTTTGATAAACTAGGAAGAAAAAAACTACTTTGGTGGGAAATCATTAGAAAGTTTCCCTAAAAGTCAAAGTCAAAAATCTCAGAGATATTCCTTTGAAATAAAGAATTCTTCATTTCTGGGAAGGAACTAATTTTTTACCAATAAGTAGAGAATACATATATTAACAAAATGCCTAGATTAGCATAGAGAGGAATTGACAAAGCATATATTAATCACATATGCAATGTATCTATTCATATACTGGTTTTAAAAACTCAATAAGAAATATATATATATATATGTATATACTTGGCAAAGGTACCATTTGCAAAAATTGTCTCTGGCCTTTTTGTCTGTGGTCTGTATATATGCTTACTTTTTGGTTTTTTTTTGGGTCACACCCAGCAATTCATAGGGGTCATTCCTGGCTTTGCACTCAGTAATTATTCCTGGGGTGCTCAGGGGACCATATGGGATGCTGGGATTCGAACCTGGGTCGGCCACGTGCAAAGCAAATGCCTTATCCACTGTGCTATCGCTCCAGCCCCTATATGCTTACAGTTTTAATAGCTATCTGTTGTATTGTATCTACTTGAATATAGAAAGAGAAGCAATATTAATATACATAATAACCAAAAATTATAAGTGACTCAACAAGTTTTTAATTTTGTTATCAATAAAATATTTAAGTTATATTGAAAAAAGTAAAATCTAGAATAGTGGTAGATACAGACTTACAAATCTAAAGAAAAACTTCTGTTTATGACTGTGAGAAATAGTTATTTCTGAATTAGTGATTTGGTAATTATTTAACCTTATGTAAAAGCCACTTCAATTCTCTTATCCTAAATTGCTCTCTATATAGACAGGTTCATTCTGAACACATAAAAACACATCCACTATCACAATTACCAGAAAACTCAGAAATAAATGGTAAAAATGATGCATATTTCATTATCTATACAAATGAATAACATAACTACTAAATGCCTCTACTTATATATTTATTGCATGGTAAACATGAGCGTAATTGGCAGCCTCAAAAAAGATGGATAAAGATTAAGGTGCTTCAATGTTAAAAATGCAAAGAAGCACAGATACTTACTATAGAAGCTATAAGATAGACATTTATCTCGTGAATCTGAGAAGTTGATTACAGGGACTGATAACAATCTGATTGTTCAATAACACTTAAGACATTAGCAACAAGGATCATAAGGTCATTTGAAAATCAATTTAATACCTCTGAGATTTTTGAATTGTAATCATTAACTCCTTATAATGACTTACTGTAGAAAGACAATCAATGAAAAGTTTATTTTTCTTACAAATGAAAAAGTACCTGCCCAAGTTTATTGACATCAATGAGACATTTTAGTTGATCCATTCAGTGCAGAGGAAAAAAGAGGAAGAAAATATGCAATGAAAGGAACATATGGTCCACCTGGAAGATTACAAGTCCTGCACTCACAGAAAAGGCAAAAAGCATCCCTGTATAACCAGAAACAAAATAGGAGCCTTCTAAGAACCGCTCCACCCCCTCAGCATGGGCATGGCTTTCAGCAAGTCAAAAGACAGGAATTTCAATGAACATTCGGCTATTCCCCCTTTGGGGAAGAGTTTTAGTTTTCAATTCAGGCAGCATTAGAAAGTTCTCATTTAAAAAGATGTTTTTTTAAATCAATAAACTTTAAACATATTGTTAAAATGCTGTTCAAAACATCTTCTATACCAACCCATTAATTTTCTGGGATAATCTATATCACAGCTATTTACCACCGGTTTACCTGTTATCTTGACTAAAATACCCCAAGCAAAAGCTCTGAAATGTTAAAATTACTAAAACTGTTAATGAAACCTTCTTAGGAATTGAATTATAATGATTATAAAACAGAGATGAGTAAAAGTGTAAAGTTCAGAGACCACCAAATCATTCATTGTCATAGAACCACTTTCATTTACTCTAACACATAAAACTAAGCAAGCTATGGTAGTCACCATTTACAGTGTTACTTTTTTTTTAATTTTTTTTCTTTTTTTATTAGTGAAACACCATGAGGTACAGTTATAGGCTTACAAATTTTGTGCTTGGGTTTCAGTTATACAATGATCAAGTGCCCATCCCTAATGAGCTTTCATTCTCCTCACTCTGGTTCAAGTTGTGATCAAATAATTTTAAAGTTATCATATGATCATTTCTAGAAGGTGAGCCTTGGGAAACAAGGGGAAAATGCAGTTTTTAATTCCCACTGAGGAGTGGGAGAGTGGAGATGAGAGAAGGAGCTAGTTCACTTAAAAATTAATGAATATAATAATTTAAATAAATGTATAAATTAAAAAGATGTTTTTATTTAATGTATGTGTATGTGTGTAGGTGAGAAGAAATGGTTCCATTTATTTGTCACTTGGTAGTAATTATATTTTATCCCTCAGAAAAAGTCCTTACTTCATGTCTTCAAATCCAACCTTAAGTACGCCAAGAAATATTTCTTAGGTACTGGTCATATTTTCGTATTTACCCTGCAACACCCAACTCACATTCTGAATATTCTCATGACAAATAAGAAATAAACTGAAATGTAAAACATTACCCTAATGAAGAGGATTTTTTCTCCCACTCGGTATCGTCCTTGAGAAAGCCTTTCCACACAGAACTTGCTTGGGCATTTGCAAGGAGGATCTTCAGAAATACGTTTCACCTGAAAAAAAAAAGAGCAGACAAGTTCACTCTTAGTAGGAACTCATTGTGATTAATTTGGGATATGGGTTCAAAAGCCCTCATGCCATTAATGTCTATAAATGTATTCTGTATTACACTAGTATGATGTAAGAACAGAACACCACATTAAATCCTAATTGAGTAAAAGTCAGACCCTAAATGAATTTTCTAAAGGTCAATAAGTGCACTAAGGCATAAAATGAATGGGGAAAATGACAATGATTCTGGAGGAAAATTAGGAGGAAAAAAATACTGTTAGGAATGACAACCTGGAATTCTAATTTTTGTTTGGGTCCATTTCTGTCTCTGGGCCCCTCCAAGTCAGCACCTCAGGTCAGGTATCCCTCACCAACAATCTTGCCTCCCGAGCTTCTGCAGAGAGCCTCAGTGGACCTGCAGGCACCTGTAACTTCACACTCTGATGCCAGACCACTGCATGTTTGCTCTCCAGGCCATCCCTTTGCCTGACCACCCTCACATAACCCAGAGATCCTCAGCACTTAACCTCTGCTCTCCACTGACAGCACTAAACCACTGTTCCTCTAACCTCACACTGTAGATACCAATCTCTCCAGTAAAAGCTCACAATCTTGGAGTACCCCTTATTTCTCTAGAAACTAATTTCTTTAGAATGCAACCACCAGAGTGAACTACAGCGTCACCCAGAGCATAGAAAACACAATAAGGAAACAGCATAAAAATCCACTAAGCTTAGCAGTGAATACAGTAGCCCCATAGGCTATCCCAAGACCAACCAGATCTGTAAACAATCAGTAATTCATTGAAAGATGCAATGATGCGGATGTGTAATGAGATCAAGGAAACAGTGATGCAGATATCCAAGAAAGTATGAGAGTGGAAAGGAGAAAACTAACCTCGGAAGTGACAGGCCTGAAGAGTATGGCATATGAAATAAAACTCACAACAGAAGAACCTAAGCAGCATGGTAAGAAGAGCATGGTAAAAGATCAGTGAATTTCATAAGTCTCAGGAAATCTCAAGCAAACAACAGAAGATGGGAAAAACTTTGAAAACAGTGAACAGTATTCCAGAGAACTATCAGATAAGTTCAAGAGAAACAATCTAAGACACGTCCATGTCCTTGAAGAATAAGATGGTAAGATGGAAATAGAATGACTAGTAAGCAAAATCATTTCAGGGACGTTATACACATAATATATGTCCTCTAACACTGAGCCATATTGTGTTCTCTTGAACACTTATGGGGGACACTTTCAAGAGCTACTCTTGGGTCTGGGGAGTCCATTCTATTCTCACCCAACTGGACAATGGTCAAATGGAAGAGTCCAGGATGTAGAGCTCCTAGGACTCTGCAGTGCCAGGGATTACCCAAGACACTTCAGGTAATGCTTGGGGTTCCCAGTATCATGAAAGGACCATACTGTGCCAGGACTGAATCAGGAACAGGAGCAGGTTCAGATACTCTAGGTCAGGATGTATAGTAATTCTAAGTAATATGATGAGGAATACACTTCCTCATCATAATAATTTTAAGATATTCATATCACACATATTCAAAATAACAAAATTAAACTACTTTTAATGAACAACTCCTCACTCTAAGATTTATCTTTAAGAAGTCACTTCCATCTCAATAACTGCCACCTATCCAAACCTACTTCTGTGGCTGAGTTTTATGGAGCGCAAGTATGAATATCAGAATTTTATCTATATTTTACCTACTCCATACTCTTTAAAATGGTACATGATGATGGGGAATGAAACATAGTACAGTGGGTAGAGTACCTGCCATGCATATGGCATATACATATGGCATAGGCATCCCATATTATCCCTGCACCCTGAGCCATACCAGGAGTAAACCCTGAGCTAGGTCCAGAGTAAGCCCTGTGCACATCCAGGTGCGGTTCAAAAACAAAACAAAAATGCATGATCTATATTCCAAGCACGTTTATTTACAAATGGTCATGGTCACAGTCCTCCCGTTCATCAATTTCCTCGAGCGGGCCCAGTAATGTCTCCATCATGAGACTTGTTACTGTGTTTGGCATATCGAATATGTCACGGGGAGCTTGCCAGGCTCTGCCGTGCGGGCGAGATACTCTCGGTAGCTTGCCGGGCTTTCCGAGAGGGGCGGAGGAATCGAACTCGGGTCAGCCATGTTGGCCACTTGTAAGGCAAATGCCCTACCACTGTGCTATTGATTTGATTATCTGAAGATAATTTATAATCCATGAATGTAAGATTAAATACTTATATTTCTCTTTTCCCTAACTGAGGATTTTTCATGCAGTGTGTCGTAACTGTCCTCTCTTTTCAACTAACCAACCAACCAGACAACCCAAGCAATAACTTCCATGTTTTCAGTCAGATTTTCATGAAAATATATAAATACCTGCTCGGAGAATCTGAAATGAGTAAAATAATTTAAGAATATGAAAAAAATTGTTTGGATATCCCTCACCCAGACACATCCATAAATGTTTTATGGTTCCTAGAGATTTTTTAATTAAAGAAAATAATAATTTATTTAATTCCACATCTGACGACTTCAATCAGAAAAAAAATCTATGTGAAGTGAAACCGTTGGAGATGAGTATAAAGGACCTAAGGATATTTCTTATTCTTATCTCTAGAATAAGAGGTTTTCCAGAAATAATGGAACATAAGACATTTGTGGCAAAGCTAGAAGAGGTGGAAGAGTTCTGAAATAAAATTTATAATAGATAATACTATATATTTGTGCCTCAGCAAAGATACTGTACATTAAAAACAAACAAAAAAGCTAACAAACGAACAAAACAGAGCATTTGACTTTGGGAAAATAGCAAGAAAGCCAACCAGCAAAACTATTGCCATTATTTTTCCTGCTAATACATAAACCTAGTTATTTTTATTATGGTAAATTGTTATTGGTTATTGGTTAACTTTAATTTTATTTGCTATATTTTGGTTACTTAAGGTTTAAAATTTCATTTCATTTTTTTTGGGGGGGGGTTAAGAAAGGAGGCACATTTGTTGGTTATTCCTAACTCTAATAAGGAATATCTCCTGGTGGGACTTGAGGTATCAGAGGAAATGCCAGGTATTAAACCCAGGTAAGTTACATGTTAGCAAGAGTCTTAATTTCTATGTTATCTCTCTGGCCCCTCGTCAAAATCATAAATTCCTAATTATGAAGCAAAAGGCCTTAATGGCACATATGTTCAATAAATGCGCATTGAAAATAAATAAATGGCTAAATAATAAAAGATACCTCAAACACTATGGGGAGAGTAGTGCACAAGAATACAACTGTTTTTGAAGAATCTAAAAAGTGATTTACACAGAAAAATGAGAAAATGCCTAATTAAGTTAACAATTAGAATCATCCTTTTGTGTTCAGAACTATTTTCAAAATATTATCCTTGGTCCATACCCACCCACACATTCAAGATTAACAGTATTTTGTCCCTAAGGATTTAAAAATATATTTCTGATTATAAGAGGTATGAATATTAGGTAATGGTGCTGTCATTTTGTCACTGTAATAGCGAACCTCGTTCTGGGATAAGGCTGAAGTTAGACAATTAACATAAGTTCTGTTTTCAGCATCCCTTTATGTATTCCTTTGGAATTCTCTTTCTGTACATGGTTTAGAAGGTATTCAAAATATATCTATCTACTCCAGTGCTGACTTTATGCCATTGCTAGAAGTAATGATTTCTTTATCAATTCATTAAGAAGTTCCTTGAGAAAAGAAGATAGGAAGGAAAGGAGGGGAAAAGACAGAAGTTCTCTAAACAGCCTGAAGAGAACCAGGCAGTCACCTCAGAAAATGACTTTAAGCTATGTTTTTAAACTATGCATGGCATGATTTTACTGCCATGCAAAAATTCAGCAAACAATAAACTGGTATTCACTCTACTAAGAAATGAGAATCACATGCCTGTGTGGAGAGTACTTCCATCTTGAATTGTTCTTTAAGGCAGAACAAAAACTGTTGATATCGAGTGAAATAAAACACAAAATCATTTTCTCAAATGGCGTGCCCTTCTCTAATGCTTTTCTGGCTCTGAAAATGGACGGGTTTTAAAAATCAAGGGCTGTTTTGTAGTTGTGTAATAGGTGGAGGCAGACATACAAGAGACAAGGCCAGGCTACAAATAGTGGAAATAAATTGTTAAGTAAACAGAGACTGATGACATCTCTGCTTCTTACATTACCTTGGGGTAAGTCCGTCTGCCAGGTGTTCTGTCTTTTGGCTAGGAACTCAGACACTTTTCTGCTGAAATGGGATTTCTAGAAGAGCCTGATTACTCAGAATTATACTATCTCTCATCCCCAGACTGAGGAAGTTGATGGAGAAGAGGAAGAAAATAAGAAAGGTTTCTTAGAACTGTATTCAACTCATTGTTTGGGAACAGCTCAACACTAGGGAATCCAAAGAAAAGAACTGAACCTGAGCCCACTGTTTTATCACAGCTGAATCACTCCACTGGGACATCTGCAGAATAAATTAATCGGAACAAACTCCACTGTGTGAACTTTTAAGATATCTTGATTAAAGTAGGTTGGATGTCCTATTCACCTATTTTTTCAATTTTCATTATTCCCCGAGGTATCAAACAAGGAAATATGAGGAAATATTGAAAGCTTAATATCTGGCAGTTATTGCTAAAACTATTCGCTGGAATATATTTTAATACTGGTCTTGTCTTGCTTTTTTTCTTTTTTCCCATCATTGTCATATTTTACTCCATCCTTTTTACCTCTCTTTATTGGGTACAGAGAGTAACTTTTCCAGGATAAAAATAGACAAACTGTATAGGCATAGGAGGTTTGCAAACAATATCTATATTATATCCCTATTTAAAGCACATGTTGCACATGTTAAAGTACAAAAATTTCAAATTCCCAGAAGTAATCCATGTCTCAGATTCAGTGAAGCAGTTGCTATAGGAACTATTTCCTTTTCATATTTGACATATAAAGGTCTGATTTAAACCATTAGTGAGGCTCAAATTACTTTTTTTCCCTCTGCTCATCCATCCCTGAAACAAAACACTTCAGTAAAAACTATTATTGAATCCAAATGCAAAGATTTCAATGCACTATTCCCAAATTAGAAGAATGGAAACTAGAAGAGTTTCTGGTCAAAGAACTTTGAAAATTCCAAGTTAAATAAGATCTTATGTAACTCATTAGTATCTTTGATAGGCCAATGTGCATTACCAAATTCTAGGTATGGACTATGCAAAAAAGCTGTATTGCTCAAACTAGACTAAGCATGAATTCTCTTCCTCGTGGGATCTCTGCCAATTTTACTCTTTGGTTAAATATTCTTTGAGAAGTAATGTCTTAAATAAAGCCAGAATAGTACTCCAGCAGGTAATCATAGAGGAATAACCACTTAATACTTTTCCTACATCAGTTAAAAACCCTTAACTTAAATAGATGGTTAAGTATCAAAACTTTGGTAAACACTGAAGAATAAATATTCTTCTGACATAGTGACTTCTCTGAAATACTATAAAAATTAAGCACTTGATTAATCCCTAGTCTTATGAATTTATGCTATTAGGTATTAGTATATTAAAATATACACATAACTGTTGGATGAATGAACAAAAGAAAAACTATTAAATTCATGCTGGCTAATATACATTATAAGGCAAAATTTAATTTTTCTGCACTTACAGAAAAGTAAATACTCAATCTTTCAAATTACTTTATTTCTGTCAATCTAAATATGTAATGTATACTATGATATCACATGATCAGAAGTTACATATGGAGAAGTCTCTTTCTGCATTTTATGTGTCCAATTAACCATTTTCCTAGATCTTTTGAGCTCTGAATTTAGGGGGATATATAATATATGGATATTTTTAATCTTACCTATAATATATAACTAGTTTTATGGGTTGGTATTAGTTACTAAGAACTCTCTCCAGACAATTGAGGCATTTCCCAGTCTGATGTCTTTGGCACTACTATTTTCTATAAGTAAATAAACTTTTTTTAACATTTAAATGAACTGTCTATGGTGGGAAGTGAATACATATTTATAATCAAACACACTATGCATAGACAAGAACCAATTGACAGCACAGGTATAAAAGTTTAATTCATCTTGCTAGCTGTTACATCAACAATCTTTTATGTGATTATGCACCTACAGTTTTGGTTTTTGTACTTTGGTATTATGCCCAATATTATGTATGACTCAAGGGTCACACATAAGAGGAGGGACTAGAACTTCAGACTAGTTTATTTTTCCCTTTTCTTTTTGGGTCACACCCAGTGATGCACAGGGACTACTCCTGGCTCATGCACTAAGGAATCACTCCTGGCGGTGCTCTGGGGACCATATGGGATGCTGGGAATCAAACCTGGGTTGGCTATGTGCAAGGCAAACGCCCCATCGGCTATCACTCCAGCCCTAACTTCAGAATAGTTTAGGCCAAACTGGGTTGGAATCTAAGCCCCTTCCCTTATACAGGTAATTCAGTGTCTAAATTGTCATCTTCTCAAAACCTACCTACAGATAACGGTTCTTGAAAAACCATGACAGATCTGGCAGATAGCAGGCAGGCAGTAAAGGATAGTTGTCTTTGTGGTATATTTGCTTTCCCTTCTCTTAGAATTCTCAAAAATCTCCTGACTCAGGCTTCTTGTCTGTGAAATGAGGAACCACTGACCAATGACAAGGCTTAAGTGTTTTCAAACTCGGTTTTCAGGGAGTTGACATTTTATCCTAATTGTTTAGACACTCTTCAGTAGAATTAAGTGATACTTCACTTTGAATAACTGAATCAGTTAAGAATTTCAAAATGACTCACAGGACAACAATTTTTTTCAGAGCATTTTAAATGAATTTCATTAATATTGAAGAGTTTAAGGTTAGACTGCTAAGAGATTTGACAGAACGAGTTTTAGAAGTTTAAAGTGAACTAAAAGTGGGCTTAAAAATAACAATTAAAAAATGACCAATTTACTCACAGCATCATCCAGTAAATTTCCTGTACTCTTTTTTCCAGATGATTTTGATGAAGGTGAAGGTGAAGGCGAAGGGGCAGAAAGTGTTTCTTCTTGTTCAATCTCTTTTTCCAACTTTATCAAACCAGGAGGCTCCACACCATACCTGTTAGAAGACATATCAATACATTATATTTATCATCTGTTCCATATGTAATAAACATCAGAAGTGCAAATTATTGCCTTTTAAATAATACTAAAATTCTCCATTATCATCTATTCAAGCTAAGGAAAATCCATCTATCTACTGGATGTACACACATACGTGAAAGGACACATCATAACACATAATAACATGGTAAGTTAAATAGATCTATTTCAATAACACAAATAAATAAACATATACAATTCAGTCTTTGTGCTGGAGAGATAGTGCATTAAGATATATATCTTGCAGGCAAACCCGCCCTGGTTTATTCCCTGGACCATTTGATCCCCCAGCATCACTTGACAGAGCCCTGACTTCATGACTGGAAGTCAGAGTGGCACAAGTAAACCTTGGTACAACATATCCCAGGCAGCACTGCATTCTCAGGCCCTCACACTGAATCACAGGTCTTGTTGGCCAAGAATGGGAGGAGCTCTAGACCTCCTAAGTACTAAATTGGAGGTCACCCACCAAATTAAAAAAAAATACAATAAATTTAGTTTTCAATTTTTAAGATTTAATAGCTTAAAAGGTATTTATGTTTGATTACTATTTTGAACATAATTTTGTTAAATGAAAAAATACTATTTGGAAATAAAATCAGAGTTAAAGTTAAAACTCAATCATGTAACTATAAAAAAGCACAGCATGAGACTATTACCCACAGACAATAGAAATGAGGACAGGAGTACTGGTCCATGGTTGGAAGCTTGTCACAAGTGGGGGGATGGGAAGAAGGTAGTTATGATAGAGAAGGGATCTCTATGAGAATGACAAGTGGGAATGATCACTCTGGACAAGAATTGTGTTGTAAAAGTAGGTAAAAGGATATACATGGTAACCTTACAGTATGTGTACCACAAACTGTAATGACCAAAAGGAAAGGGGGGAGGAGTGAGAGAAAGAAAAGGAAAAAAGTGTCTGCCTTAAAGGCAGACTAGGATTGGGGGACAAGGAAGGAGAGACATTGGTGGTGGAATATGTACATTGTTGAAGGTTTGGGTGTTGGAAAATTGTACAACTGAAACCTAATCATGGTCAACTTCGTAACTGTTTATCTCACGGTGATTTAATTTAAAAAAAACTTTTTAAAACATCAATCACCCAAAATAAATTTCTTAAATGGCTTAACAAAGAAAACAGTTCACTGTTAATTATATACCACCTAACAGCACAAAATAATATACAGTGGTTTAAAATGTATGTTGTATTATAGCATTTGCTCTTTTTAATACTATAAAAGCATGCCTAATGCTACTGAAGAAAAATAAACATAGAAATCAATTGATTTAGATGAAAAACACATTGAAACTGTGCTGTAGATTTTTAATCACATAAAAATTCAAAGAAACACATACGTTGTTTCAACATTTTTATTACTCATATTGTTTCAGGTTAAATTTAATGTTCTTTTGGATTTCTAAGTACATATCAATTGTACCTAGATTAACAAAAACTGAAGCTCTTTCCAGAATTTTTAAGAGTGGGTAGAAACTTTGGGATCATGTATTTATAAATGACCATTTTCAAAGACAAGAATATAAACCCAGGGGCTGGAGAGATAGTACAACAGGTAGGGAGTTTGCCTTGCATGAGGCTGATCCACGTACAATCTCCAGCATCCCATATGGTTCCCTGATAACCACCAGGGACAGCTGCTGAACATTTCCGAGTGTGGTTCCAAAACCAAAAATTAAGTAATTGATTTAAAAAATACAAACAGAGGAGTATAGAATAAGCTAGGAAATGGATAAAATGCAAATGAAGGTATTTTGGCTTCAGGGAATTGTCATCTGATAATTTAAAAATTAGGATCATAATAATTTATAAGACAAGATATATGTAGATGATAAATATACTAACAATATAAAGTGAACATCATATTAACACATTCAATGTAAGTTTCCTTTGGGCCAGAGGGATAGTACAGCAAGTAGGGCACTTGTCTTTTATGTGGCTAACCCAGGTTCCATCCCCGGCATCCCATATGTTTCTCCAATCACTGCTAGGATTAATTCCTGAGTGCAGAGCTAGGAGTACCCTCTGAACATCACAGGGTTTGACCCAAAAAGAAAAAAAAAGTAAAAGCTTCCTGACATCACCAAGTATGTTTCCAGTGCATATGTCTAGAGGAAAGAACTTTCCATACTCTTAGTGTGTTGTTCTTATAAGAAATACTTAGGTGGTCAGTTCCTGCCTTCTCGCCTTCAATATTCATCCCTCACCATTAACATCAAGGACTTTGTCAAACTGGTAAATCTGAAAATAAACTACTCATACTCGACTCATTTGACTCTACTACCCACAGGAAGATCTTCAAAAGAACTTACCCTGATTCATTTTTGTTTAAGAATAGGTATTAAATTGGCTAACTTGTGAAGTTCCACTACTAAGTATGCCTTTCAGTTAGAATTTTATTAATTAAGTTAATGCTGAATGGGTAGGAAAATGGGTAGGAAGGGTCTTAAGTGTCCTACCCATTTTCTATAATTACCACACCATATTTGATGGGGTTCAGATATTAGGCAACAAATCATAGAGAAATATATATATGTGTGTGTGTGTGTGTGTGTGTATACACATATATATATATGTGTGTGTGTGTGTATATATATATATATATATATATCAGAGAGCCCAGCAAGCTACCAAGAGTAGCCCGCCTGGCAAGCTCCCCGTGGTGTATTTGATATGCCAAAAACAGTAATGATAACAGGTCTAATTCCCCTGACCCTGAAAGAGGCTCCAATCATTGCGAAAGATTAGTAAGGAGAGGCTGCTAAAATCTCAGGACTGGAAGGAATAGAGACATTGCTGGCGCCCACTCAAGTAAATCAACAAACAACAGGATGACAGTGATACAGTGATGCTAAATATTAGCAGAACAAATTTTAAATTCCATGTTGCTATTTAAGCACTTAAGCACTCCAGTAGGCAACCTTTTCAGTCATGCCAGACTTCTTTGCATTCTTACTTCAATCAACAGATAAACCATTTTTATAGTCATTAAGAAAATAATCTAAATGGCACAGTGAGGCTAGAGGAACATAGTGAGCTAAAAGTCACAGTCAATTAAAAGTCAATTAGTAAAAAAATATATAAAATATTAATTCAGGTCAAATACAAACTATTATTTATAATGGTAAGCAGATCTCCACCACCTTTCAGGAACATTTTAATTTTTTTCTAAAAAGTAAAATTCTAAATGATAAAAATAGAATAACAATTAGCATCTATATATGCTATACTAAGTAAACAAAATTTCAGAGAAATTGGTAACAAAATCATATGGAATACTTCACCCTGGATTTTTTACCTGGGAATACTGAAAATCAGCTATTCCACTAAACAGAGAAAATCAACAGTTAAGTTCCAAATCTGCTTATGTTGGCTTTTGAATGCTCCAAAATGCATACAGTATAGTCAGCCAGTCATGAAATGCACACTTAAATACAATTCTTTGGCTTCCTGTCTGTCTGGAGATGTCAACAAGTTATAAATCACAAAATTCCACTTGGATTGGAAGATTGCACATGTAAGCCAATTTAGTCACCAAATAGGTCTTTTTTCCTGCTTCTCAAAGATGGCTTTATTATGATTTCCATAATTAAATCTATACCAATGCACATTTATGTGTTGTTTATAAGGTTTCCACAAATCTATACTGTTTTCTACTCCTTTCCAAGAAGATAATGAAGTTTTGAGGAGATGGAACACCTGTTACTCTCAAAGTGAATGAGGGTCAAACTAAGGATAGCAAGAAGGCTGAATAAACTAAATTCAAATCTTCACTAAAGAAGTGGTATTTGCTTTTGATCTCATTAAATAAAAAACAAAGTGCTAGAAAAAGGGTCTTACACATAATGATATTATGATGAGATTCAAGGAATGGATTTCTCATTTTTATGACACTTGAAACAATTTTTTAGATTGGTTAGACTCTGTAACTGATCCCCTACTGAGCTCTAAATTAAAAATTTATTCAAACTATTTAGTAGACCACAATTTTTAAATCAGAGACATCTGGGACCTATTTTACTTGAGTTAGAGGAACATATTTTAGAATGCCTTCCATTTTTTAAGGTATGTATCAAATAGTTATAAATTCTTGCAAATAATTTTTGTCCCATTTACATTCTATTTGAGAAGAACTTAAAGGGTCTTGGAAGCTAGCCCAAAAAGAGATAGAGTACATGCCTGGAATGCTTCAGGGTCCAAATTTGATCCCTGGCATCACATGTCTTACTCCTAGCACTGTTGGTTGTGAGCCTGATGACCCCTAAATGCCACTGAGGTGGTCCTGGTGTCCTCTATCACCGTTCTACTCTAGCAGCACTATATAGCTGTTTGGGCATAGAACATGAATTATATATTATATAGTATTATATATTCTAGTTATACATATAAGAATATAGCTTAAGTAAGCATGAAACTGGCAGGTACAGCAGTATCAAGCATGGTTGGCAGTGACCCCCCACCCCCATGCCCTGAACATTGCTTGAGATTAATTCTAGCTGCAAATTAATACATTTAAAAATATATTTTGATTTGCTTGGCTTTCTTTGGGGGGGTACATCTGATGGGTGCCCAGGGACCATTTCTGGCTACAGAACTCAGGACTGACATCTGGCAATGCTCACGGTCCTACATGTGGTGCCAGGTATTTGAAACAGGGTTGCAGCTGCATGTAAGGCAAATCCCTTGCCTTCCAGACTATCTAATCAACTCCAATTTATATTTGGAAAGACAATTTGCCCATATGAAAACACATAATACTCTTAACTATCGGATCCAAATGCTCAAAAATAGGATGAGTTAACTAATAATCCAAGCATAAGCATGATTTATTGGGGCATGGATTAAAGTAAAATACTAACAAAAACATTCAAAATCTATTTCTTCAATTGTTTATAAATTTAGTTCAAAATAAGAGCTGCTCAAAACTGAAAATATAAAAATTCCATTATTATGTTGATTATTGATTCTGGTTGGGCTGGAGTGATAGCACAGCAGGTAGAGCGCTTGCCTTGCATGCAGCTGACCTGGGTCGACCCAGGTTCAATACCTCCGCCCCTCTCGGAGAGCCCGGCAAGCTACCAAGAGTATCCCGCCCGCATGGCAAAGCCTGGCAAGCTACCCATGACGTATTCAATATGCAAAAAAAAAAAAGTAACAAGTCTCACAATGGAGACATTACTGGTGCCTGTTCGAGCAAATAGATGAACAATGGGAGGACAGTGCTACAGAGTGCTATTGATTCTGGTAACTGAAACATAGAAAGTTATTTATTGTTATATTTAATATTAAACCTGCAAGGTTTTATAGTCTCTGGGTCTTGGTCATTCGTGGGATTACACGGTGCCAGGGGCAGTTGTTGGGTGTAACACCTACGTACTGAAAGATGGGGGATCTGGTTGGAGGAGGCCCCAGTCCCAATCCGAGCAGGCTTGGAGATCTATGCCTGGGTCCCACACACCTGGGTTCCTCTGCCGGTTCCTTCATGCATGAGGCTCGTCTGAACATATGGAGAGTGGTCTTAAGCATGGCTGTGGCTGGAACCAGAGGTCTTCAGCTGCAGAGACTCTGCTTGGGCTGGGGAGGGAAACTCAACCCACCCTCCTCCAAGGGGCCCCTGTGAGGACAGCCAGACACAAAGGCAGGAGACTGCGCTGTTCTCTGCTGGGAGCAGGGTTTTATAGTCTCTGGGTCTTGGTCACTGATGGGATTACACGGTGCCAGGGGCAGTTGGTGGGTGTAATGTCTACATACTGGAAGATGGGGGATCTGGGTGGAGGAGGCCCCAGTCCAATCCGAGCAGGCTTGGAGATCTACGCCCTGGGTGCCGCACACCTGGGTTCCTCTGCCAGTTCCTTCATGCGTGAGGCTCCTCTGAATGTGTGGAGTGTGTTTTTAAGAATGACTGTGGCTGGAACCAGAGGTCTTCAGCTGCAACATCTTATTATCTAGTTCTTACTCTGGAGAACCTGGCAGGCTACCAAAAGTATCCGGCCCACACGACAGAGTCTGGAAAATTTCCCGTGTCATACTCAACATGCCAAAACCCAGCAACAATGATGGGTCTCATTCTCCTGACCCTGAAGGAGCCTCGTATGTGACACTTTGTAAAATCTCAGGGCTAGGATAAAGGAGATGTTACTGGGGCCTGCTCAAGGCAATCAATGAACAAACAATAGGATGACAGTGATACAGTGATTAAACCTGCAGTCTGTATATAGCTTAATTAATGATATTATTTTAGCAATAAATATCTAAGCACTGCCATTCAAAAGATCTTTGAGGTTTTTATAGGACTTGCTTTTTCTGTGTGCATTACATTTCAGGATGGAAACTTGCATATTTTAGGTTGAGAAACTGACAAGGTCTCTGTAACATTTACAGAGATTTCACTCTCCAGTGATGATAGCTCTATTAGTTGAAAATAAAAGGAAAGTATACCCATGTGAACAAACATAAATGCTCTCACCCTCCCATCTCGAACTCAGAGGAGCCCACAGTTCTCAAAGGAATGCTGCTGCGTGGTCACAGGCAGGAAACGTGGTGGTGAATCAGAAACATTTTACGGATCATTTCCAAAGTGCTGCTGACACTTGTAAGATGATATTTATGTGATTCTGAGAACTGTTTATAATCAACTTTGAAAAGCACTATACCTCAGTGATTTTTAAAAACCCACAAAACTCAACGGAGACTCTTGTAACCTTCAAAATTTACCTGTGTATGTGCAAATTGATATGGTGATTCCTAGTGCGGCTCCCAAGTAGCTTAATTTGTTGTTGTTTGTTTTTGTTTGGGTTGGGTTTTTTGGGCCACACCTGGCAGTGCCCAGTGCTTAGTCCTGGCTCTGCTCTAAGTCATCGCTCTTGGTAGTTTTAGAGCTGCTGGGAATTGGGGACCAAACCCAGTTGTGTGCAAAGCAAGCACCTTATCCTCTGTACTATCTCTCTTGACCACTCCAACCCTAATAACTTAATTTTGGCTAATGTAACTAAATATTCTATGCAATCCTCTAAGAAGGCACAGGAAAGGAACAAGTACAAATATAAGAATCTAGATATGAGTTTAGCATATCTAAATGAAGAGTAAAATTAAATGTATTTTTTAATCGAATCACCATGAAATACACAATTACAAAGCTATTCATTATCAGGTTTCAGTCATTAAATGGAGAATTAATACCCTCCTGTTTTCCTAAAAGAATATGCTTACCACAGGGCTAAGCTGTTGAAGATTAGGTTTACTTAGATTTATTGTGTTGCTTGTTAATAAACATAATTAAACTTCCATTAAGTTTAAAAATAAAGACACATATTTAAATGTTTGATCTATCCAGCTGCTATTTAATAATTTAACTTTATACGTCATACAAGAATAATATACAAATGCAGTAACAATCTGAGGATATTTTTTTTTGCCATGTTAGTGTACATATCTACTCACAACTAGAGAAAGGAAATAAAAACCAATCAAAATTTTTAAATTGGAAATTGCAATCTAAGCTTTCATTTAACATTTTCATATTTATGGAACAAATTTTTTGATAATGTGATTCAGTAGCAGCTCATGAGGTCGTAAGTGTGATCAGAAGTGTATAATTTATTCTTTTTAATGTTGATGAGGAAGATGATAAGATCAAAGACAACTTTTGAAGATAATGAATGTGTTTATGACATATGACATAATATTAGCAGATGTGTATTTATGTTACTGTTACTGTGTTTGGCATATCGAATACGTCATGGGTAGCTTGCCAGGCTCTGCCATGCGTACTGGGCCTGCTTGAGCAAATCGATGAACAACGGGAGAACCGTGACCGTGACCGTGTATTTATATCCTAGTTGAACAAGTTGCTGCCTGCAACTTGTATATCAAGTACGTCAATCACATCTCAATTAATTGGTTTATTAAAAATGAAACAAACAAGAATCACAATTTGACAAGGCTACTAAATTTCCTTTCACTAAGCAATTCTTTAGCAAACCAAATAATACACTCTCACAAGGAACAATTTAAGCCAGCTGGAGAGATGAATGAAAAATGATTCTTAAAGGAATACTATTATTGTGTAGCATAAATTCTTCTTTGATGACTCAGTCAATCAATATGCTCAGTGCAGTGAGATTCCTAATTAGAGTATTCAGGCACTTAAAAAGTAAAATTACAAACAAGAAGTTCAGAAACATAAAAATCAATTAAATAAGAGGAAAATAACAACCAAACCTGTTGTGGAGATAGTACAATTTATTTCTCTTTACTTTTCTATCACATATATCAGGATCATGTTGCTTATCTAGTTTGCAATCTTAATATTATTTAAGCAATAAAATGAAACCTGTAATTTTGGAATATTGCAAACAATGAAAAATGTTTTTTGTCAAAACTTCTGTTAAGCAAAAACTCAAAAGCAGTAGCTTTCAACCCTTTACACTCGTGGATCAGAGAATATAGAATAGTTCTTCAGACTAGTATGAAACAAAAACCACTTAGATTTATATAGATTTAGAATTAGCACTTTTACATCGACACTTATAATCTTATAGCTACATGATCCAGATATACTATATATTTAGTAGTAATAACTTTTTAAAGAGCCATCAGGAAATGTCTATGGATGAGCACTGGTCTGTGAGCAAGAAGCTGGAAACCATGTTTGACCATCTATGTCTCAAAATTTTACCCTAGCAGCAACTCCTGTGCTGAGATCTTATTTTATGTGCTCCTCCAACCTCTATATTTTTAACTGGGATAGCAGTTGGATCCCTGCAAACCAGCAGTCCCAATACTTAGGGATAAAAGGGGGAGAGAGGGAGTGACTTGGCAGAATCCTAGAATAACAGGTTCCTTGGTCTTTCTTTCACACAGAACACCAAAATCGTGCAGCGCTGAAGAGGGGTGATGCTAGATGTGTGAACTGTGTGTCTGAAGAATAGATGGATTAGACTCAGGTGTTCCCCTTAAGAGGCCTTCACATAATATCTGAGAATGGTGTGGGAGAGAAATCTCCAATGGTCTCAAATTTTTCCTATGCCTTGTTGAATAGAGTCAGTCATATGTAATTTGATACCTTTTAATTATCCCAATTTTTCTTGTGGGCAATTAGTGTCGTGAAGTTGAATTTATGGCTGATATAGTTTGTTAAGACTATGTTGGCTGTGACAGTTTAAAGGCCTCGGGGTTATTGCTGATTAAACAATATTAAAGGTCTATTTACTGGCAGCACATTTTATATCAGTTTGGCTAATTCATTGATATGTATACTTTCTATTTACGTGAACTTTCTTTGATTTTTTTTTAGAATTAACTTCTCTTGGAGAAGTTTTTAGGTGGGGATCACACATTGCTGCATTCAGAGCTTACTTCTCACTGTTCAGGGATCACTTAGGCTACTTAGGGGGAACCATAAGCGGTGCTGTGGGTCAAACTGGGTTAAGTCACATGTAAAGCGAGTTCCTCACCCTCTTTCTGTGTGCTCTTTACTAATTTTTATCTAGAGTGAGCTCTCACATATTTCTGGTTAATATGATCTCAACTCCAAAAAATATATATAGATCTTGATGTGGAAAAAATATAATTGTGAATTTTAATTCTGCATCAAGACTTCTTCAACATTTATATCTTTATTTGAATTCTTTGGGATTCCTAACACTGTCAGAAACTCTCAATGCCCCAGTTATGATGAATATGAAAAGTCAATTAGTTGTTTGGATATTCAGATGTTCCATATATTGACACAATGAGAGTACTTGACACTTACCTGGCTGCAATTCTGCCAAGCTCTAGCAAACAGAGACACACTTCTCTAGGTTGCTTGTGGAGAACTGAAAGACAAGGCAAAAGTATATAACTGAATGGACTGTAAACCACCTCAGTATGAACACACCTGAAATGATGCCTCATCCTAAAACTCCCTGTAAATAAGCTAGTACTCACACTGACATTACAAGACACCTTTCTGTTTTGCTATTTTGAAATCTACTGAAGAATTAAAGCAGTTTCCAAACTCTGCCTAATGTCCTTCTCAAGAAATCTTAACCTCAGTAATCTAAACCCATAATCATCTTCTGCACTTAGTTTAAATCAATGAGAAAAAGATTATAAATGCAATCTTACTTTAATATGAATATAGATACTAAAAAACATAAATCATACAGAAAACTATAGAGCTAAAAATGGAGTTTAAAATAAATAAAATAGAAAGTTTTACTCTACACTCATCAATGATTTTAATATAAAAATTACAACAAATAAGAATAAAAATTACCCACCATCTTCATTATCCTATCAAGATATCAAATGAGACCTTAAAATATAAGGTTAAATGTGGCAAGCTACCTAGAGTATCTCGCCCGCATGGCAAAACCTGGCAAGCTACCCATGACATATTCGATATGCCAAACACAGTAACAGCAAGTCTCATAATGGAGATGTTACTGGGCCCGCTCAAGCAAATCGACAAACAACGGGAGGACAGTACTACAGTGCTACAAAGATTCATTAATATTTTGATATAATAAAAGTAACATAGTGACTATTTTAAACCAAGTTAAAACACTAAAAATAAAAAATCTTTTGAACTACCAAAATGTTTTTCATTCTTAAATTTAGAATTTTATATTTTATCAGCATTATTCTATTACCTTAATATAATTTATCTCCATAGTTTACAATAGTGCCAATATTTGATTCACTAACACCAGACTGGAATTTATAAGAAGTGTATTTTTTTTTTTTTTGCATCACACCCAGCAATGCACAGGGATTACTCCTGACTCTGCACTGAGGAATTACTCCTGGCAGTGCTCAGGGGACCATATGGGATGCTGGGAATTGAACCTGGGTTGGCCAGGCCACGTGCAAAGCAAATGCCCTACCCGCTGTGCTATTGCTCCAGCCCCAGAGAGGAGAGTGTATTGTTAAGAGAAAGATACATTTAGGGCAGAAAAATACATTTATCTGAAATGTAAATATATATGACTTTACTGTCTTTAAACAAAAACAAATTTATTTTCTATTGTATATCATCTTTCAGCTTTTAAAATAATTTATAGTCCTATCAGGAATTTTTAATCAGAATGTAATTGTGAAAAATATGAATAACACAATTACAATAACACAAAGTTAAGTTTTAGCAATCCAATAATAGATTATCATTAAACTTTATTTGGGGAAGTCTAAAATTACTTCGAATTAAAGTGACTTACTATAAAGATTGTTGCTACATCCAATTTTAAATCCACCACTAGTTGCCTCTGGCTACAATGGTATAAATTTATCATTTTGATGTATTAAATCACCTTTAATTCAATATAATATAAGTGAACTATGATATCGCATAGGTATCAATTTCAAACAAAAGTTGACAACACAATATAGAAGAGAGCAAGTGAAAGTATTCCAGTCTATTGTACAAAATAGCAAAAGAATTTTTGTTTATTTGCTTTTCTTTGCTTTCATGTCAAGGGGTGTGCAAGGATCACTCCTGGCAGAGTTCAGAGGGCCATATGTGATCTTGGGGATTTAGCAGAGGTCAGTTGTATGTAAAGCAAGCACCTTACCCACTATACTATCTCTCCAGCTCTACAAAGAGGAATTTTAAGAGATAAAAGGAACTACATGAAAGTCAAGATGATAAAGACTTTTATTTTTATTTTATTTTATTTTGCTTTTTGGGTCACACCCAGAGATGCTTAGGGGTTCCTCCTGGCTCTGAGTAATTCTCAGGAATTACTCCTGGTGCTTAGGGGACCATATAGGAAGCTGAGAATTGAACTTGGGTTGGCATGTGCAAGGCCCTACTGGCTGTGCTACTGCTCCAGCCCAAAGATGATAAAGACTTTTAAAGTCTTGTTAATACCCTCATCTTGGTAAAAGCAATGTGAAACAAATTGCTAAAGCTCTTGAAGTCTCTGAGATATTATTATGCATTTCTCAATAAAAATAGTATGAAAATATGAAAATCATTAGTAAATTAAACAATTTTTTCAATACACAGTAAAAAACTGGCTATCAAGTACCGTGCCTGAAAATAATGATGATTCTATAATCAGTTTTCTGACATATTTTTAATTATGAGCAATTTTTTTTGTTAAAACACTAAAAATAAAAATTTTATGGAAAGCATAATCCATTCTAAACTAAAAAAAATAATTTTTAAAGGAAATATACTGTGATGTCTAGATGCACTGCCACTATATATGTTTATCTTTCTTTGTATGTATATCTTTGCTTCTTCAACTGGGTTATTAATTTAAAAGAGTTTTTGTGTAACAAAACTTGTGTCATATTTATCATGGACTCAGAAAACCAATTTGGAAAACTGAGAAGTTATTGTATATTCTCCATTTTATGTCTAAATAGGACCAACCTATCTGAAATTTAAAAATAAAATTTTCCTGACATGTTTTTTTCAAAATGCTAATATAAAAGTATTTCTACTTTCCAGTTTTCTCTGAAGCATTATCTTTTACTAATCATTAAAATTGCTTTAAATATGACTATTATTTTCTTTCATGCCTGTATCTGTCATTCCTTCCTTCCTTCTTTCCTTCTTCCATCCCTCTTACTCCCCTTCCTTCTTTCTCTACTTCTTTCCTTTGCCTTCTTGGCCCACAGCAGACAGAAAATAAATCAATCTAAAATCAATCTAGCAACAATTAATCAATAAAAGAGAGGAATCTTTAGAAATAGCTAATATAATACAATGCCTACAATACCTTGAAGCAAATGTTCTAATAATGGCAATTACATGCTGACAAGTGAGTGCAGCAACAAACTAAAGACTAAAAACTTACCTATTATATTCAGATACGGTAAGAATTTAAATTATGAAAAATGTTCACTTACTATAAGAGATGATATTTATACCTATAAAATTTAATTCCCAGGACTTGAAATAATATTTATAGTATACCTAAGAGGTTTTTGGTTTTTGCATTATGGCAAGTTAAAAGCTGAAGTTAACAGATGTAAAGAGTACACTGGCCAGGGGATTTGAGGCACAATGATCTGGTGTGGAATATTCTCTCTAATCATTATTGCTGCTGTTTGGAGAGAAGATAAAATATAAAATTAAACATTTCTATTTTCTGAAAGAAAACAACAGTATAGAATTAACAATGTATTTTTGTGAAGATTAAAATGATATTTATTATTATTAGCTCAGTACAGGTGCCTAGAAAAGACTAGCCTAAAGTTTCTTTTATTATGGTTGTGCTTCGTTGTTATTGTTATAAATTATTTGGGTGAGGGCACTGCACACAGGGCATTTGCCTTGCACACAGCTGACCCAGGATTGATCCCAGGAGGTTATATGGTCCTCTGAGCCCACCAGCAGTGATTCCTGAGTGCAGAGCCAGAAGTAAACCCTGAGAACCACTGGGTATACCCATCCCCCACCCCGCCAAAAAGAAAAAAAAAACTTCTTCTGTAAAATTAATTTTATTTGCATTACTCAATACTGATTCACTTACTTTTTTCTATAAGTACTTTATATTATATATTATAAGTACTATACATTATGCATCATTCACTATACTAAATAGTAAAGGTAATTTTGAAAAATAAAATTACTGTTGTATATATATAATTTAGAGTGTTTCTATTTATAGTAAGTGCATTGTGAATACTCTATCATGTAAATTGTATCAGTTAATCTCTAAATAAATCCATTTAGTTTATAAAGGCAAATTTAAATCAGATATATACTATTATTATGACTTTGGAAAATATAAATCTAAGAATCAAATTACTTCAGCAGTATCATTTTGTGGAATACCAAAACTTTTTTAAAACTTCCTCTGCATCAGAAAAGAATATTTGTGATTTCATTTTCACCAAAACATCTAAGTTGATTATGTATTTTATAAGAATAAATGCATGCGTTTGTCAGGATTACCAAGACAATTTATAGCATAACATATCTGAACTAAAGTACATTGATTTGTATTAAGTTAATGTAATATTTATTTCAAAGGTATGTACTGTTTTATCTTTTCAAAAATATAAAGCATCTTCTACTAATAATGATGTTTATTACAGAAAACATTTCTTTTTCTGAATTCTGGCATTGTAACATCAGTATGGTGGTTTGCTTTAAGTTAGGGAAGCTTAGGAGACTACTGCTTTCTTTCCTCTGAAGAAGTGCCCTTTAAAACAAACATGAAAACCTTCTAGTCAATGGCAACTGTTATGCAAAAAGGTTTTATCATTGTAGCCTTCTTTGTAAGTAAGCAAAATCATCCAAAGAAAAACGTCTAATGCAGAAAACCTCTGGGAAAACTGACACAGATCCCTATTCAAAAATATGTGGCAAGAGACTCAATCTTATAACCTAGATTCTATTAAAATCTCCTGGGCATCAAATGTCAAATGGAATGCTGCTAGCGCCAGGAATAGAAAATAAGATCTTCACTAAAAAAGCAAGGGATAGAATTCCAATGTCACAGAATCTGCAAGGATAAAATATATTAGACCAAAAATGTATATTTTGACTAAGTATATTAAGTTTTAACAGATGGACAAAATATTAAAAAAAAAAGAAAGCAAGCTTGAAACATGGGGTTTTCCATTTAATTTTCCTACATTAGAAACCATAATATCTGTTCTGGTTTTGAAGAAAATTAGTTTTTATATTTCTCTTTAGGAATAATATGTGGAAAGGCTTTTATAGTGGAATACTGTTTAGCTTCAAAAAGAATCATAAATGGGTGGCTGCTTACCTTTCGAAAGTAAGTGGCAGATTCTCATGTGCAGGAATAGAGGTATTTTAGGAAATACAGTAAACTAGAAGTCATAACTGGATTCCATCTTACTGTATCTC